ACAAATAAGCCATAATAAGAGGACATAAAGCGCACTAGTTTTTTAAACAGATGAAGCTGAACTCCAGCAGAAGGAAGCACACAGGTAATGAGGCTCAACCTAATGTGGGGTGGCAGCTGAGAGAATCTTTCATATGAGGTAGTGAAGCTCCCAAACAAAGCTGTCTCAGAAGTTACTGATTCAAAAGAAAGAAAAAAAAATCAAGTTAATCCTTTTCAAAATGGATTAATGCAGAATATGAAGGCAGATTCTTCTGGGGGAAAAGGCACCCAGGTTGATAGTTACAGAATAGGGAAGTTAACTTCTTGGGCCTCTCAGTTCATAGGTAAGGACAACAAATGGCAGTTCCAGAAGTGTCCTCTTCATAATCTACTAGCTTACCTAAATGTGCAGGATTAGTCCCTTAAGTGCGCAGCATCAGGGACCTCTCTGACCAATGATAAATACAAACATTGTTAAGCCCTTTGCTGCAAGTGACAGATGGCTCCATCTGCTTCTAAACTTTTAAAAACTATTTGAAATATCAAACAAAATTATGAGGAAAATAGAAAATATTCTTCAAAGAACAGGCTTTTTAAAAAGTTAATGTGTCTGCCCTGATTAATCACAAGCTGAAAGGAGCATTTGATGACTACTCTGTACTTCAGTTAACACTATTTCATAAAACCTGGCTTGACAGAAGTACAAGATAAATTAAATAATACAAAAGTTGAAAGATGCGCTAGCTGGCTCATGCTCAAGAAGTACTCTGCCTCTGAACAGCACGGAAGAGTGCAGTAAAGCAACTGAGCAAGTGGGCAGCACAGGAGCAGCAAGCCGTTTTCATGTGTCACTGACTTTAGAACAGTTCTTGGCAAAGAGACTACTCACACATTTCAAATAAACATACGCTGGTTTGGATGACACTGAGGGATGCTACATTGTGGAGCACAAAGCTCTAAAGATCCGTTCCTACGGTTTAAGGTCAAGGACTCTCACAATGAATGTTATGATATTGAATGTCTAAGACTCACAGCCACTGTGATGCTTGTTTGGTTTGCATCTTATCAGAGCTTTATATGAAGGCACAGTAGCAAGTCAAAAGCTATTCACAAATAAGAAATTGTTTCCCTTAAGAAAAGATCACAGTGAATATTGTTTCTCTCAGAAATAGCGTGTATACTTGTTCTTTATAGTACCGCAGTAAAGATCACTTCCTTATGACATTTGACAATGAGACAAACACCATAGAAGAGATGGTTTTGTTTAGCATCAAATTCTTAAGCTCACATGTCTCGAAACAAAAAGCAATGCCTGTGATGTAAAGAATCAAGTGAAAGAGTTTATGAAGTGCTAATGCTAAAGAGTGATTTAAAGAACATTCAGTTATTGACAAATGGTGCTAAGCAAAGCCTGGCTTGGGATGGAAGTATATTCTGTTCAGTACCCACAGGGCTCCAGTTTCAGTGGCAAGAGTAAACCAAAATCAGTAACACCTCTCAAATAATGTAATTGGAAATACAGCTCTACACCATGTGAAGTGCAGAATAACATCCTATTTTTTAGATAAATCACAAGTTTACAATCTTTTCCGTACCAAAACCTGCTATCAAAAAATTAAAGAAAAAAAAAAACATTTTCACTACACAGAAAGCTTCTACTTGAGGCTCCAAGGCTGGTAATAACAAAAGTAGGCCCTTTAACATCTGTGGGCTTAAGAGCATCAACTAACCCACCAGTAAACTGCCATTGTTCCAGGCTTTCTAGACATGTCACTTCTGTATTTGTAGCGTAGAGATTATTTCCACACAACTCCAGCTTTAGGCTCCTAATGCTACATATATATAGAAAAGAAAGCATAACTTCAAATTTGGTTCTGTCCTCAGACTGAATGTTGGTAAGTCTATAACCTGGAGCTAGTGACCAAGAACTTTTTTCTCATTTTCCTTAGCTGAAATGTGATCTAATAATCTGTTTCTCGGTCCCTCAGGAATTAAAAGCATGATCTCAACCTATTAAACAGAAGTCTCCCAACTGCCTTTTCCTTGTTCTAATGTTTTTCTTGCATAGCAAACCTCCTGTAAAAACCTCTTTCTAGCTTGACTGACAGTTGTTTGTACACAACCTTTGAACAGTTAATTCCATTTAACTCCTCTAACTGTTAAGGAATACTTACTAGTTACTGCCCTAATGTCTTACTGTAACCAGCTGCAAAACTGTTGTTTCCAGAATGTAGTTATCACACTTGTGTAAACACAATAAAACCCCCCAGACTAATGAGTAGCCAGGTGATAGTGTTCCACACCGGAAGTGATCCTGGTAACCAAATGCTTACTATAGGGGTGCTTATCAGTGGGGCCAACAAGAAGTGGGACTTTGACATGACCTTCTGATGACCCTTAATTATTCAGTTATTGCATACACCTATCAACAATCCAACACTTACCAGAACTGGCATGATACACGAGTACAGAAATGGGTTCCTCATTTCAGGAAAAAGAAACTAAATGCTATAAATAGAATAGGCTTGTCCTCTTTTACTGACAGCAGTTTAACAAACACTGTGAACTTTTTTCTTTCAAACTTTGCAATAGCAATTACAGAACACAACACAATCTCTATTATCCCGTTACTTAATTTGCACCCAACGCCTTTATTTTCAGAGATTCTGGATGACTGAATATGGAAACACAGATGCCCCAATCTATTTGGTGTTGACACTTTCTTTGCAACTTCCACCAGAGAACTGTGGAAGAGACCGACCACTGAAGTGGTCCCCTGTGAGCAGCA